AGGGACTCTCAAGAATCTTCTCCAACACCAAAGTTCAAAAGCATTAATAGTTTTCACTTTAACCACTGCTTCGGCTATGGCCTACAAATTTTGATATGTCATGTTTTCATTGTTATTTAACCCAACATATTTTCCAGTGTCCTTTGTGATGTTTTATTCATGGGTTATTTAGAAGTTTTTAGTTTAATTTCCAAGTATTGAGGGCATTTTATAAATATCTTTATCTAATTGATTTCCTGCTGTACTAGGCTAGAGAATATATTTCATATGATTTTAGTGGGGTTTTTTTTTGCAATTATTGGGACATATTTTATGGTGAATAATCCATGTTCATTTGGGGAAAAAAGTGTTTGTTCTGCTCTTGCTTGGTGGAGTGTCCTACAAATGTCACGTAGATCATTTGGTTGATGCTGTTGTCGAAGTCTTTAAACCCCTTGCTGATTTTCTGTCTCCATGGCTGATCACTTACTGAGAGAGGAATGTTAAAATCCCCAACTGGAGTTGTGGATTTGTCTCCCTTTAGTCTGTTAGTTTTTGCTTCACAAATTTTGAGGCTTCTAAGTGCACACTCACTTATGATTATGATGAATTGAAAATATACTCTATTTCACCTGCAGTTGTAAGGACTTTTTTGTGCAAGATATAGACTACCAGGTTCACAGATGTCATTTTTTGTACTGTGGACTGCATTATTTTGATGAGCAGTCAACTGTATTTCTCATCCTTGTCTCCTTGTGATATGCTGCTTTTTTAAGTGATCGCTGTATATTTGGCTTTAGCATATTCTTGGGTATGAGTAGTTGGGTTTTTGTTTTTGTTTTAGTTTATTTTTCTTGGTTTTATTGATTTGTGGGTTGATATTTTTCATCAAATTTGGGAAATTTTCAGTTATTATTTCTTCAAGTTTTTTTTTTTCCCCGCTCCACTCTCTTCCCTCTCTTCCTGGCACTTAAATTGTTTATATATTGGACTGCTTGATATTGTCCCATGGGTCACTGGAGGTCTTTGTTGTGCTTTTTTTTTTTCAGCAAACAAACGAAAAAACCTACTCTTTTTATTTGGAAATAATTTCAACGTATACAAAGATACAAGAATACTACAGAAAAAACCCAACACTCAACTTTACTCAGATTCACCTACTGTTACTGTTTTACTCCAGTGCTGTTTTTGCTTCCTTTCTATCTGTCCCTCTATCCATCCATCCATCTTGTGTATATACATATATATGTATGGATGTGTGTGTATATATATGTAATATTTTCATCATCAACTTGAGGGTAACATGTAACCATCACCTTCTTCATCCCTAAATACTTTAGCATATTAATATGTTTCACAATATTAGGGACATTCTTTTATGTAAATAACCACAATAGTTTCCAACTTCAGTAAATATACAATGAAACAACATTTAAACAAATTTACCATCCACTTATCAATTTTACCTATTAACAAAATAAAATCTTCATAGCATGTTTTTTCCCTCCAGCATGGGATCCAGTACAGAACCAAATATTGCATTTATGTATCAGCCTTTCAATGGAATGTTGAAACAGGCTTTGTCTTTCATGTTTTTTATTTTTTTTGACGTTTATAAGAATATACAACAATATCTCTTATTTAGGGTTATCTGATATTTCCTCTGATTTGATTCAGGTTATACATTATTGACCAGAATATCACATAAGCAATGTTGTGTCCTTTTCAATGTATTGTATCTAGAAGGGTATGATGTCTATTTGCCTTGGTGATGTTAATTTTGATTATGTGGAAAAGGTATACTATTTGTTTACTAGAGAGTCATTATTTTTTACCTTGTAACTATTAAGCAACCTATGAGGATTTCTTGAAGACCATGCAAATATCCTGCTCCCCATCAAAATTATCCCTTATTCAGCATCTATTGGTGACTCTATCCTGGGACAATCTTTGGGACTAAAATTGATCCAGCTTCAGTTCCCCTCCATGTTTGCCACTCTATACTCAGCACTCTACTATAAGCAAGAGCCCTCCTTATCCCCTATCAATTTATCTACCTATTATCAGTATGAACACATGTATTTCTATCTCATAATTGGTTTATAATTCATCACTGTACTCAGTTATACTGGCACTAGAATTGTATCACTTTTGTCTGGTGTTACCACCTTCAAACTGATCTGTTATTTTTAAAATCACTTCCTTTACTTCTGGCATGACAAAATATTATAGGTTCATCTTGCCCCTATTCTGCTTCTGTCCTGTAAACAGCTCTTTCTCTAAGAAGCCCTTGATCCTTACATTAAGGGATGCTATTGATGTGAACTTTCCCCCCGCTTCAGTGTAGTTGCGGCATACGTTTGAAACACAATTATTTGTTTACGGCAGGTGGTTTTCCATTGTAGTCTTTCCCCCCTTTTCATCTTGGTGAGATAATTTTATTTCCAATTGGTGGAACACTAATATGCTTCCAAAAGTTGGAACTATGCTAAAAGGTATAGAGAGAGACATGGAACTCCTTTCGTCCCTCTCCTACCCTACTTACTGTCCCCGTTGTAAGGAACCAGGTTCACTGTTCTCTGGTTCATCCTTCTGCTTTGGTTGGGAGAGTTCCCATAACAAGACACCACGGGCTGTTTGGCTTCAGTCACAGGAATTTCTCTCCTCGCAGTGCTGGAGGGTGGCAGTCCAAGGCCAAGGAGCCCGCGATGCTGCCTCCTCTTGGGCCTCCAGGCTTGGCTATGTTTGCCGCTTCTTTGTTCGGACAGCTGGGGCGCCTGGAGTCCCTGTATGTGCTAACACCCTCCTCTAAGGACGCGTCAGACTCGGTTATTTGCTGTTGCTGTTTAGTCGCTAAGTCATATCTGACTCTTTGTGACCCAGTGCACTGTAGCCCGCCAGGCTCCTCCATCCACGGGATTCTCCAGGCAAGAACACTGGAGTGGGTTGCCATTTCCTTTTCCAGGGGATCTTCCTGACCCAGGATCGCACCTGCATCTCCTTCTCAGAAGTTTATTGTTACTTGACTCATCCCTTCTTTCCGCTTCCTTCCATGGCAGGAAAGGCACAGGGAGGTGGAGTTATGCCAATAATGCTGAGACTCTTAGATAGGTGAGTAGTTTCAGGACATGTGAAGAGACTGGAGCCTGCTACTGTCTCATGGATGCCAAGAGAAAACAGAATATGCCTGTCGGGGAGCTCCTGCCCTCAAGTTTGACCAGGAGTCAGGGAGGCAACAGAGGCAAGGCTGAGTCTGAGCACAACGCGCAACCCCCTTCTCCTCACGAGTTTCTGCCCATGGCCCCTCATGCCTCGGCCTCGAGGTCAGGAGACCGGAACGACGAAAGGGAGGTGGGCAGAGAGCGCGGCGAAGTCGGGGCTCAACTTCGGTCCTCCCGCGAGGCCGCCCTCCTGCCGCGGCGCTCCCGAGGCCTGCGCGGTGGCTGTTGTTTTTTTTAAAAGGCTTTATTTCTCTCTCAGCTTAAATGTGGATTGTTGTTATTGGACCTGTCTTCAAGTTCACATGTCATTTCTTCTGTAGTCCAATCTGCTATTAGAGTCATCCAGTGAATTTTTCATTTCAGACTTTGTTTTTCAGTTCTACATTTTCCATTAAATTCCCACCATTATCGTTTCCATCCTGTTGAGAATCTCCCTCTCCACATTCATGTCTTTCTTTTGTTTGAAATCTTTCTTTTGTAATTCCAACATCTGTGTTATCTCTGGATCTGTTCTACTGACTGCTTTTTCTTTTTTCTTTTCTGGTTACATTTTCTTGCTTCTTTGCATATCTAGTAATTTCTTATTGTGTGCCGGACATTGTGAATCCTATATTGTTGAGGATCTGGGTCACACTGTGTTCTTTAAAGAGTGTTAAATTTGTTCTGGCAGAGTTATTTTACTCGCAGCTTGGCCTGATCTGTCAGGGGTTGGCCTGAGGCTTTTTTAGGGCAGGAGCTCAAGCAACCTTTACCCTCAGGCTGGAATAGTCCTGCTCCCAAGAACTGTCATTTTTTTCTGGGATGGTCAGCACACTCCCTCCACTCAGCTGTCTGGACTGCTCCGTGCCGGCACCACATCAACTCTAGACTCTCCAGTCAACTTGCAGTGTAGTGATTCTCTGCTGGGTCTTGTGCATCCCCACCCTGCACATCTATGGCTGACTATTTGGAGACTCAGAGAGCCTGTGCAGGCTCCTGGGCCTTCTTTGCACAGCTTCCTCGTCTCTGTGTTCTGCATGTTGCAGACAGCTCAGCAGCCCCAATTTTACCTCTCTCTCCTCTCTTGTTGAGACATTGAAGTACGTTGGGGCTCTGCTTCAGGAAGCTGGGGTGAATGTGGAGCTATCTGTTGTGCAATATCTGGAGACAGTTTCTGCTTGTATTTTGTGCAGTTCAACAGTTGCTTATAGCAGGAGTGTAAGCCTGTGCCCGTTACATGTATCACAACCAGAAACAAGAGCCCATTCTCTACTTTTGCAGCCTGTTGCCTTCTTCCTGCACTTCCCAGAGACACCCCCACCCCAGGCCCAATCAAGCCCTTCTTTCCTCTGGACACTATTCAGGTGCTGTGTCATCAGTCACACTTCCCTGAGCCTCAACACATCCTCACAGGCTTCTTTTTGGCTGTTTGCCTACCTTCTGGACTGTGAGAACCTTGAAGGGACCGTACACTGTACTCTGTAGAAACCATTTGCAGATCCTGGCACAGCACAGCTTCAGTAAATGTGGGGGTTGAATTATTGCTAAAGTAGGGGCCCATCTGCCTCTGCTGCTGTCCTCTTAGCTGGGCTAGAGTAGACGTGGAAGAGACCAAGGTGACAGTCCTCAAGTGCAAAGGACCTGTGTCTTCAATTTCTCTGAGATATAGGCCCAGAGAAGATTTGTGATGTGTTTCAATGATGTCATTCATTTATTCACCCTTTAATAAAAAGTCATGGAGCACCAACCATACATGAGGGAGGAGTTCATGGAGGGGCCAGGGGCTTGGCGGGTGGTGTCCAGGGTGCAAGGTGGGCTCACCTGGGATTTGGGGTAAGGGCTTCGTGGCCAGAATGAGGAGGGTGGATATAATCTGGGTGACACTGAGGAGCTGTGGGGAGAGGGTGGGCTCAAGGGGGACTGGGAGGTGGATGGGAGGTGCTCACCAAATGCCAGCTGGCTGTCCCCAAGCTGTACCCTGCAGGGTGCCCTGTGCGGACAGATGGCCTCATGGACAGGTGGTGTCTGACCCAGGTCCACACAGCTGGCCTCCTAATTCCAGGCAAGGGCTTTCCGCACACGCTCTCTGGACATCCATCCCGCACTGCAGGGCTGTGCAGCCACAACTGCTCACATGTGCTCACAGGTGCAAACCCACACATTCACTCTGAGTGCAGGTGGAGGGGCGTCAGGGGGTTGCCTGGCCCTAACCCTAACCCGTAAGGTGTGGCCCCTTGTGCATGTTTCAGCCAGCCCTCCTGTCAGGTGCCGGCGGGTAAAGGTGCCAGGGCACCGGGCCAGTCCTGCACAAAGGTTGGTGAGATGGGGGTCCCACAGCTGTGCTCGTGGGATAACAACTGTTGTGACTGTGCTCCTCAGTCTTTGGGGACTGGGGCCGCATGGCTTATCCACCAGAGAGGGCCAGGCAGAGCCAGCACGCCCCCTCAGCACATCCTGGTCACAGGGTGGCTGCGCTCCTGGGGTGCAGGGTGTATCCCCAACCGTACACCTCGGCAGACCCTGCCTCTCCCTCACCCCCAAGTTCTTTCTCTTCCTCCCTTACCTTCTTCTTCCCTGTCTCCCTCCCTGCAGACCCTCCCTCTCCTCCTGCAGCAACAAAGAAATCAACTGTCAGCCACCCCCCACCCCACAGTTCACTCCCTCCTGAGATGCTGATGCACAGACCTGGTCATTAACCTGCCGTCTCCCTCCCCTCATGCGGACAGTCCTCTCTCTCTTTCTCTTTCTGTCTCTCTTTCCTTCCACCTCTCTCCTCATCCCCCTTCCCCACCTCCCCTCTTGAAAAGCAAGAGCAATGGGAGTCAAGATCTTCTCTTGGCGATAATTATTGAAAAGTTCAGTGTAGACAGAAGCGATGCTGTGAGGAGGAGAGGAGGGGAGAATATTAAAATGCATGTGCACAGCTTGGCTTTGCAGCAGATGTTGGCATAATTAGAGAGGAAAAAATTATGAAATTAATTTGTGGTTCAATGTAAATTTCAGCGATGGGGGAAAGCTGGGCTCTAGTCACCTCATGTGAACGGATAGACACGCACACGCATGCACACACACACACACATGCATGCAGCACACCCCAGCTGCCAGGGAAGTGGTAATTGTCAGAACCCATCCAGGGGGAGAAACTGGCATGAAAGCCAGGGAGGGGGCCGAGGGTGGGATTCGTCCTCTTAAAGGCACAGTGGCTCACCGCAGGGGGAGACTGGAACTGGGCCGGAACCTTTTGGCTAGTCAGGGTCAGAGCTCAGGCCCCCGATATCACAACAGCCCAAGGATGACCCTGTGGCCTCAGCTTAGGACAGATACACCACGGGGTGCTGGGCCCTCACCCTGTGGGTGTCACTGCTCTCCATATGTGACCCATCCTCCAGCCGTGGGAGGCGAGGGTGGGTGGTATGGTGACATAGGGCCATCGCCGGATCAGAACAGAGGGTCCCTGCTGGGGGGTAGCAGTCTACCTGGTTCTGTGAGCTCAGGCAGGCAGACTCAGGGACCCCTGAGCGGAGGCAGGGGTGCCAGCTGAGACATTGCTGGGGTGGCACTAGGGAGCCACGGAGAGTTGCTGAGCAGGAGGGGTGTGGGAAGTGTGCGGCCCCTCTAGCCAAGCCATCCAGCCTCTCTCTCTCGTATTCTTTGTCCGCCACCACCCCAGTTCCCTCTCACTTGTCATCTCATCTCTGGGGGCACCCCCTTTCAAGGAGTCGGGGGGGGGGGCCCTGGGGCAGGTGGCGAGGCAGAGACTCACCTCTCGCTGCACCGTGGCCAGGCCGGACCAGCCCTCCCCCTCTTCCCCCTACTGTGCTAGACCAGCTGAGAGACCCTCTGGGCCTTGGTGTCTGTATCTGCCCCGGGAGGGCTGGCCTGGGCTTTCTATCTGTGTCCTGGGTGCCGCTGCCCTCTGCCTGCCTGCCACCATGCTCCCACCCCCCACCGTGAAGCCTGCCAGTAATGACAAATGATTGTGAAAGAGGCCCCTGCCGCCTGCTCACCACACCCCCGTGCTGAGGAAGCACCTCCAGCCCAACCTGGGGGCTCCAGCCAGAGCCTCAGACCCCCCCCCCAGGCCTACATCCCCACCTGCTTGGACCCTGAGCCCTCCTGTCGCTCCCCTTAGCTGGGCACATCCCTTCCAGGTGTTCTGGTGCTTGTCCCCAAGGACATCATGCCCTGTGGCCCTCGTGAGCCATTCCTGCCTGCAGCAGGCCTCCCCCTGGGTCATCATCACCCCCACCCCCCGCCACCTCATCCTCTGCCACCTCATACACTGACCTGGGCCATTTTGGCCCGTTTGTTCCCCTGGTGAGCCCTCCTCCAGGAAGCCCTCCCTGACCGTCCTCTGGAGGCATTGTCAGAGATGTCTGTGCCCCTCCCCTCAGGACCACAAGCCTCTTCAAACAACTTTAGGTGCACTACAGGCCCAGAGTGCCTGCCCTGCCCACAGGCCCCTAGGGGTGCCCCCATCCTCCTGGGAGCTGTGTCCACACGTCCTAGATTCATCATCAATGTCACTGACTCTCCTTTGACCCTTTTGGGACCCGAGGAGAAGGTTGGCCTCCCTAAGCCTCAAGCATTGGTGTTGATGAGGACTTGCCTGCAGGTGTCTGAGCTGTTTCTGTGGGGCATCCAGCAGTGGCTCCAGCCCAGTGCCATGGGTGATCACTGGTCGCAGAGTTGCCCAGTGGCAGCTTCGTAACAGTGCAGGGCAGAGGGAGCCACCAGCCCCAGACAGGTGCAGAGGAGACAGTTGGGTGGCCTAGGGGCCCCGTGGCTTGTCCAGAGCCATCATGGCTGGAACCAATATCCATGTGGACCCAGCACCCGTGTGTCTGCTGCCTCCTCTGGACGGGGACAGACCTTGTGCAGGACTCTGGTCAGAGGCCAGAGCCTCTCCTGAGAACCCTGGTGAGTCTAGCCCTGCCTGGACCAGAGCTCAAAGCCCGGGGACCAGGCAGGTCTCTTGCCTTCCTCTCACGCCTGGTCAGCTGGTCAGCGTCAGGCTGATGCCACCTCCACACTCAGAGCATGAGGAGAGAGAGGCAGACAGACCAACGCCTCTGCTGTCCTCACAGGCCTGAGCCATGTGGCCCGAGCCGACTGTGCCCTGGGACAGTCTGAGGCCCCCTCGGATCCCGGGAGGCAAAGGGATGATGATGGAGTTGGGCCCCCAGGGCCCAGGTGGAGGGGGTGTCTCCCCCTGCCCGACCCCAGTGGGGCTGCCCCCAGTCACAAGCAGGGAGTGCCCAGCCTCCTTGTTGCTCTGATTCTGTTTCTTTGTTTCACCCTCTAAACTTACATCCTTATTAAATAAGATAAGTAAGAAGAGGCAGGGAGGCTGGGGCTTGGTGAGAAATGTCTGTGTCCATTCTGGTGGGATCCTGTAACGTGTGCAAGTGGCCATGGTGGGGGCTGCGTGTGGTGGGTGCTTGTGCAGCGGCCACGGTCTGCGCACCGTCCTGTGCATCTGTGTCGCGTGTGGACTTGTCTGCTCTGGGGTTACTCCCAGCAGCCCCCACCCGCTCCACCCCCCAGCTCATTAAGGCTCTCCCATTATTCTGACATTTGTGCGCGTCACGTACCGGCAAGAAGTAATTTACTTAGAAGAAATTAAAAGTTCATTTTAATTGAGCGCACACTGCAGTATGCAAATGAGTGCATTATGCACCCCAAGCAGAAGTAGAAGCAGCGCTTAACCCTCCGCTTACCGGGCTCCTCAGCTCAAGGCTGGGGTGCTCCCAGCCTTTCCGAGGCCTCCCGTCCCCAGGTCCCCAGGTGGGAGGGGGCCGGCCACACAGGGAGCCATACGTCCCTCCTGAGCCATCCGAGAACTTTTTCCAGATGCAGCAGCCACGTGAGCACTGGCGCCCAGGGGTCATGTGAGTGCCAGCACCCTGGGGAGACACCCTAGCTCTGAGCCGATGTGGGCTCAGCCTGGCCCCAGGCTCTCTGGGGCATGGGCTAGCATCACCCCAGCTCCAAGAGGCCCCCAAAGCAGGCTGAGTGCCGCAGAGAATCCCCGAGGCCCGACTGCAGGGGGGCCCCAGCGTGGTTGGCGATCCTGGCCTCCCCAGATGTGTGACCGGGACTGGTGTCCAGCATGTGCTCTGACCCTGTGAGCTGAGACCCTGAGAGCTGGCATGTCACCACAGCCCAGGGCCTGGTCAGACAGGGCGAGTGTCAGGCTCCCCACGCAGACCCTTCCCTGTGCCCAGGCTGGATGCACACACCCACCTCCTGCCATTTATAGTTGTGGCCCCCGAGGTTCAGAAGGGACAAGCAGCTTGTCCAAATGATGAAGAAGCCTCAAGAAACAAGGCTAGTGTCTAGGCTTGGGGCCTGCTAGAGTGCCGTTGCGGCCACGTCACCCAGTTGGGGCACCGGGGCAGCCTCTTGTGCCCACAGAAGGACACATTGGCTCCTTCCTTGGGCCCTGGGGCACCCCCAGGGGTGCCTCACTGCCACTCAGAAGGGCAGCAGGCTTCGTCTCCAGCAGAGGCCTCTACCAGGAGGTCGGAGGTGGGTGTCGAGTTCCAGCTGGGTGCCTGTGGCATGGGTCACCTCGTTTGTCAGTGGTGTGTCAGGCTACCCACCGTGGTGTCCAGCGTCCTGCAAGGCCTGCAAGTGTGGCCTGGGGCTGGTCTCTACCCCTATTCACGTGCTTTCCTCCTCCATCCCTCCCTCTGCCTTGCTGTCCCCTGTTGTCCAACCCTAAGGTGGGGCTGGCAGGTCAACACCTACACAGAAGAGCAGGGGAGGGCAGCCCTCCCACACCCCGGCTTCCAGAGGGGCCTGGCCCCTGCACCAGGAGCCGGGCTTCTGCTCGAGCTGTGGTTGGTCCCTAAGCGGTTGTTTTTATGTTGGATTTTCCCTACCTGT